TTGTTTTTCCGTCCAGTTATAATACTATTAGTTTCCTGTCATAAATGCTCCCCTGCTTTGGAACTTCACCTACTGCGCATTTACATATCTTTCCGTAGGTTATGCGAAGACTGTGCCCAACTTTCCGGGTTGTTCAAATTGAACCTTTTCTCATCACTGAATATAAGTTATACTTACACGCATTCTTCAGTTTGCTAAAATGGACCTCACAACAAATGATAACTAGGTCATGATTCCTCTGTGAATTATGATCCTGACTCATACCTGGACCCCACTCGCTAGAGAACAACAACGGCTGAATTTATGAACTCTAATGAAGTTGATAATAGATCTCTGAACAGTGATCGACAGAATCCATGAATTTGCGTTAAAACCATTTCGCACTCCTTTTAGGGCTTTATGCGCGGTATTCAGTGTTCCATCCAAGCTTGGTCCAGTTTCTCGTACAAATCCAGTGAGTAAGTGTGATGCATGAAAAAGTTTGAAAATTTTAATGTTCTGGGTAAATCGACCACGGAGAGAACACAGAGACAAATGGGGTAAACTTAAAACCGTTTTCATGCCATGTGGTTGTCCGGAATAGCATTTGTACAAAAACAGTATGCTGTTGCCAAACTATTTACTCAGATGTGACACAACCAACGTTCCTTCCTCAAGTAGCGAAGTTTTGACATGCCCGGGAACCACCACCCAACTTTGGTAGCAGACAGCTTCGCTGTCACTCGGAATCTATTCCACGCCGATAATAATAATAATAATAATAACAATAACAATAATAATAATAATAATAATAATAATAATAGGGTTCACCGGTGCAAGTTCCGGGGCTTAGACTACCAGTTCCCATGAGTGAACAGTAACTCGTTATGACTATGGGACTCGCTCTTCCTGCTGTTCCTTACACAACAGTGTGTAATTTAAAATAAAAATTAGTGCACAAATATGCCATGAACATTTTTCTCATGTGTTTTCTCTGATTAAGAAAAACTTCGTTACTTTATAAACAAGCACAGCATTTCGATATCAATCTAACTGTTTCTACAGGTTTTCTCTCAGTTGAACAGCTCCGATCAGGGGCAAATTCTGACGTGATATTTGCTTCAAATCAAAGCACTGCCATTTTCCCGTGATCGTCTCAATTACCTTCTTTGTCGCCATATGGTTTCTCGATCATTTTTCATGGGTTTATATGATTTCACTAGCCAACTTATTTCTCAGCAAGCGCCTGAAGTACGAAGACAGGCGATTTATCTCACTATTTTTTCCCGTGGTCGGTCACAAATGTAATGATTGCCATGATATAACAGGATTTTTGGGAATCCATTTGACAATATACCTTTCACTTGGCACATGCTATGATTGCAGTTTGTAAATTTCAAATGTTCATCCAATTTCAAAGCTCTATCATCACGCTACCCTGTGTTTTATACACACTTGATCGATTCGTAAGAATTCTACACTTTTGACGGGATGGAGCTTATCACAAGGTGCAATTTTATGAAGATCATAAATCTGTTGTTTCGAAAAGAGCGCTTTTAGAGAGGTCTTGCATCTAAAGACTTGTGATATTGGCGAGTTTTGAATGTATTCGGGAACGGGGGCCCAGTGAATGTCAAGTATGTTGTTGAGAAAGAATAACAAGGAAAGCACAATAACACTGATACCCGTTATCTGTCCATATTTTACATATTTTTAAGCTTTATTCACCCATCTAATCTGCGATTCCTTGAGGATCGAATCTGGGAAGTATACGTCCCAGATAGCATGCTTATGAGCATGTTATATACAGGTCAAATGAGCAGACGGTTTTTATTTTCCTTATATACTTAACAGCACAAGCCATCTTTGAAGCTTGTTGCGGTCATCGCATCTCGCTCATCTCAGTGCTGGACTGCAGGGTTGGGACTCGGTTGGAAACAATTCGAACCAGACTACTTGTCACCCGAGTTGAATTGGAATTACTGCTGAAACCCAGCTTTACTGTGATTCCTAGCTTTTCAGTTCACGCCTCATTTGCTCTGTACACGGCGAATTTTATCACAAAGGCTTCCTATGTAGACCTCATATATTATTAGCTACCGGTTCAAGAACACGTGTGATGCGTCTAAGGTGGTCCAGTAACAAAGCAGTTATCTCAACACATGATCAATAATGACTCACACGGTGGGAGTGGAGTTGTACGATGCTCCGTTGTTGCCCTCGTAGCACAGATGGTACACTCAGTCGGCATGCATTCAGACTTCACAATCGTTCATTGTCTCACCGCACTCGTAAAGAAAGATAAAGTTTCGGATGTTAACGACTGCAATTATCGAGGCAATTAGCATCCGCTTCACGAAACGTGAACTGTGCGAACTAAGGTGATTCGAGCCCTCAAACTCCCCTGCCCGAAGGTAAGCAAAATCCCCTATGCGCATGGCCACGACATCGCTTAGCTAATTTCCAGAACATAATCCATACATCACACCGATGTAGAGTGGTTTTCGACTCATAAAAGCATATGACTCATTCACTGTCCGCTGGATCTTAGTGAATTCTGTTTCATACAAATGTGACTGCGCAAGCTTTGAATGGATTATCACAAAATATAGTCATAATCTGCAATTTGAATTGAACGAGTGTCAACCTTAAATCATTAACTACAGAAACCAACCTCAAACGGTGGGTTTTTCTGATAAAAGAAAGTAACGGGGACCGTCAAGTCAATGAAAAGATCAAGTAGATTTCGCGTGGTGTTCAATCACGAGACACTCATAATAAAAAAGGCTAATGCACAAATGAAGGACACTGTGAAGCAAGTGCCATAGAGAACCGATGGAACTTATTGGAGTGATTATTGTTAGTCTGCCTATGCTTGCGAGATAACAGGGAAAAAAGCTGGCAGGCAATGCGAAACAAAGCCAATTCATGTAGCGGTTCGATATAGGTTAAAAAGAGACGCATGCAACCGTTTTGCAACAAGAGCCACAATTGTAAGTGAAACACATCATGACCGGTACGATTCCCTCCCGCCAATAAAAAGGGCAATCATCCGTTGACCTACCGGTAGTAATGGGCTGTGCAAGGGCTGGATGTGCATCATTGAAGAAATGGGCTGAGTGATTCAAGGAATCCCACCTTATTCGATATCCTTATGTGAAAGAGAGTCCGCCCAAATTATACTGAACGCAGAATGAGATTCGAGGGGGGGGGGGAGATTACTCAGGTTAACTAGGAAGAATAGTTGAATGGATTCTCCTTTTTACCCCACCCAACCCCCGCTAGTTACAACGAAGAATGCAGAGATAAAAATATAATCTATTTATTGCGAACTCCGCGTGACTAAAGAATAAACTAATGTCTCAATTAGTTTTATGGTCAAACGTAGAGTTTGATTCTGTCAGTGTCAATGAATACATGTTGTACATATTTATGTGTGTAATTAAAGTTTGAGCGGGTTCACTTAGTGACTAAAGCATGTGCTGTTGCTGTTATTGTTGTGTTTTTTCCAGATCAGAAAACTGATGCAAAGCGGTAGGTCCAAAAGCGTAAAACATCAGACGAAACTAGTCATGATAAGTTATTTACCGGTCTTTAGGAAACAGTAAGATAACGAGGAAGGATAGCATCATTTTGTCAGAAGCTATCTGTCTGACAGTCATAGTAAGTGATGAGGCTGGAATGCAATACCTTTTTATGTCTGCTAACGTTTAGAAGAGAGAAGACTGGTCCTTGGTCTCTTGGGCTTTGATATAAAAACACTCGGAAACTGCGAGTTTGCCTGCCGATAGAACCATGTACAAAATAGGTCGGGATAAGACGCACCGAATATTTCAGTGTTAGATTGTATAATACAAAATGGAGATTCGGACAATAATGTGGTATTAATTAGGTGTCCGTCACATAATGCTCTGTTTTTCAGGATCTCTAAGACTATTTTTTACTACATACTTTCGTGTGATGAACAGCAGACGGGGCGAACCCCATAGTCACGAGGACCTACTTTTCAGTGATGGAAACCGGTAAGCTAAGCCCCGGGACTTGGAGTGGTGAACAGTATAGGGCCCCAATAGGTTAGGCGTGGTATTGAACCAGACGACAGCAAAGCTGCCTACCACCATAGTCGGATGGCAGTGGCAGTGGCGAGGCACGAACCTCGGACCATAGGGTCCAAAGTACGTCTGTGACGGTGACTAAAGCACTGCGCCACTACCACCCTATTTGACAGATCTTTCTAGCTGGTCCACACCGAGCTCGTATAGCCTGAGTGTAGGCGAACATATGTTTTCGGTGAATTAATTTTCAAGCCTTTACAATGAAAGTTATGACACCAAATTCTCCAGGATCCAACGGAAAACAAGAGGAGTCACGTGCGTAGTAGTGAGTCCGAGAAAACTCCCCACCAAATATTCTAAAGTCCACAGAGTGCCTCGTTGCGTTACATGCTGGACTTGCCGTGGTTCTCTCAAAAGTTCAAACAGTAACATGCGAACATATGACACCCCGTCGAGGAATTGGTTGACTCATTTCGTACAGAGGCAAGCTTATCAATGAGTATACACATACACACATTAATCAAACACAGGTGATGTCATAGGTTGTACTGCCTGAGTAGATTTCTTTGCGTACGGTTCACTAAGACTTGCGACAGCAGAGCACCAAAACTTTGATGGTGTAACAGTATTCGCCATCGAATAATGCTCACTATTAAACATCTGGTGATACCTCGCCCCAGTCCTCCATCGACGCAGTCTTCAACTCCCCTAGGTATGTGTATTCCCTCCCCGGATCCACTTTACCCTGATCTGATCCTACAAATGTACCATCGGATTAAGATCGGGTGCCAGGGGATGGTCTTCGCACCTTGATATTTATGAACATGTTATACGACAAAATGAGCATGTGAACTGGTTCATCAGCGGTTCCGACCCAAACCGTGATCAGGTTCCCAAACGGCCCAGGTCGAATACTCAATTTTACAACTATAGACACTATTAGTGACAAGAAATTATAGATAGATAATTCACGTAGATTCCTTGTGTAGATTGGACTCCACTTGGTGCACACACACACACCGTTCCCCTCTGATCCTCACAGACAAATGTATATGTATGCTGTGACTATAACACAGACAGCGGTAAGGTGTTTAGAGGCATCCTGGTAAATGCGGCTGATACAGTCAAAGGATACTAGGAGGGGGCAACAGATACAAAATGACACACTAGTTCTCTTAGAGTCGAGACTAGAATTCACGCAGTCTACGTTGTAGTTCAGTGTTTTTGGTGGTTTGCATAAGCTTAAGCGCATGAACTCACCTATAGACTGAGTAAAGAAATGACCTTTAAAATCATTTGATGCTACAATTTTGTTGCTTTTCGACCATGAGGAATCACTACCGTACGCGGATCGCTCGTGATCGGAAAACCACATCAGTGCATGAAACAAAGAATTAAAGCAAGATGACTATGGACAAAATAGCAGTAATTTTTGAGATTTTGTGATTTTACGCGGCATTCGTTCCTAATTACAAAGTCCTGCGTCCGAAATACCGGAATAAATCAGAATGTTTGAGGATCAGTTGCGTATCTTTGCGAGCAGGTCAGAGCTAAGGTAGTAAAAGAACAAGGGACCACTGGACGCAACTTCAAATAGTCTTAACAACTGAGTACAGATATCCGAAATGGGTGAAATTTTCGTGTACATATTATTGGGTGTGGTAGCAACGGTGCTTTCACAAATGTGATCAGCTCTTAATTTCCCGTTAAGTACGGATCAACATAATGATTGCAAAATGAGATAATCATGAGAATTTCTCGGAACCATATATGGTTTCAAGTTTTACAACCAGACACTTTCGTGCGCCCCTTTTGGTTGTTACCTCATGGTTTCCCGTTCGGATGAAGGAGTGAAGGGAACCGTAATGTCAAAATATCAGTAGCCTGGTCAGCTTCTATTTGTATTTTGGGTGCTGACTTTCACTTAACAACAATGCCCAGTACATCACCACTGACAATATTAATTTATTCCAAGCGGTAACAGAAGAAAATAGCTAAAATGACGTTCGAATTCGATCCGGAAAAATTGAAAATCACTCAGTTTTTATCATATTACAATTTGTTAAAACGCATTCTTTTCTCCTGTTTCAATAGTAGTTACGAGATCTCATTGAGGATTGCGAAAAGAACAGACGGGCACCAACCTATACCATCTCCTGAAGGAAAATTCCAGAAAGACATGAGGTTTACCCGCTTTTGTTCCACAAGATGTAAACATTTTGACAAATGTCGTTGCCCATAACATGATTATCAAAAGTCTCTATCAAAACCTATGCTTTTCATCCTGAGCGAAAATGAGAAAAAACGACGAATACTATTGCTAATAGCCTGGTTGGAGTTAACGGACATCTACGTATAAGAAACATGAATAATTAGGTTGGACCACGTGATAAGTCAATTAAATCCGATCGATACCAGTTCGGTTGAACGGAACGTCTAATTGTGGCTGATAAAACCTATCGGGACGGCCAAGAGGATTGCATTTTTTGCTTAGTCATCGGCGTCTGCATTGGGTTAGACAACGACCGACGTAGACATGGGCTGTGATATGCCGATTCACTGGTCAAATACGTCTATATCCACAACGGAAGAAGCAGAAAATAAGGAAAATAGTCTGAGTTCTACACTACCGTACATACAAACGGCATATGAAGTTGTTGAGTCTGTATCAGTATTAAAAAATTCTCATGAAATATCGCGCGATAAATCACCCATAACAAAAAGTGATTTCTTCAATAGCAGAGTTTCGCAGAGTCCATACAAAATCAGTCCCCAACCATTGACCTTCGAGGACAGTACAATTACCGCGTGTTTTCCTAACTTGTGGCAAATGAATCCGTTTGAAGATTCGTCCAACACAAGTAGACGAAGCACACATTCCTCACTGAACCGAAAGTGTCGTAAATATACACCCCGGCATTTTTCAGCAACAAGCATTCAATCTCACCCCAGAAAAGATATTAGGTTCATGCAAAATGTGGATGCTCGCTTGCACAGCTTACAAAGACGTCGTGTGTGCAGTCTACCACGTCCCAGATCTCGGTATTCAAATACGAGGAATACACAAATCAAACCGCCTCCGCCTAATCAGATAATGGTTATTCAATCGTGCCAAGAAAGACGAACTGAACGCGGACGTAGGGTGATTGAGGACTCAAAGTTCCGTAAACCTCCATGGAATATGGCGGGNAAACTGAACCAAATATGAGACGTTCTCAAACTACCAGGAACACTCAATTCATACCTCATGTTTCCCGGATCACACAGTACCGAACCAGAAGTGACAATTCTATAAGAAATGGTGTTCGCACATGGTCGTGCAGATCTTCTTCCCTTAATACAGTTAAACCGAAAACGTGCTATTTGATCGCTATCCCTAAACGGAACGGATCACTTTATCACAGAGGCAGTCGTACTTCAATGGACTCGGCATTTAGTGCAGTTATTCGGAGTAAATCAGGCACTTTATCCTCATTGTCATCAAAACCTAAGCACCTGTTGCCCAGTTCGCAACACACAGTAAACAAGTATACTAGGATTTTGTCAAAAGCGAACAATTATATCACAGTACCACGCCTGAGCAAAAATCATTCCATATTGACGAGACGATCCGAATCGCGTGGAACGCAAACGGCTGATTTCACTCTCTCAAAACTGAGTCCTAGCTGTCTACCACCGAAGGGTATGCGTAGGCCAATATCCACTCCTAGTAAACAAACAAAAAACAGTTCCATTCAGAAAGTGCCCAGCGCTATTGTAAGTGCATCCGAAGAGAAACAACAATGCCAGAAAAAATCCATAGTTACTCCAGTGCATAGCCCAACCATGAGACAGTCTGAAGCTATCCATGTAGAATCGTCACCCAATGAAACTGAGCAGAACACACCGGCTAGTTTATGCAAGCTGTACGACGTTTCGCCGCCAAAACTAGTCGGTTTATCGGAAGACGAGCCGGGCTCATCCCTAAAAACCGATTCGGATTGTGTTTCTAAAAACATGGCAATACGAAATTCCGCTTTTCTCTCACTTCCTCCACCAGCAATGTCATCTTCGTCATCATATTCCTGCACAAATGATCCCTCTATCAAGAATTCAATGCATCCGCCCAAAGTAACTACAACTCTGGTGGCATCTACCAAACCAAGACCAGATCCATTCACTGTAGGTGATGGGAATCTGGAATCGCTATCTTCATTGGATCTTCAAAAAAGTCTGCTGCAGGAACATTTCGTTGCCTCCTTCGCATTGAATGAGAAAGAGCACTCATTATGCTCGTTGAACGACAAGTACCAACATCGTTCGATTCTACGGGACCCGGGTACAAGCAAAACCTTCGACTACGCAAACGACGCCGTCCTTTCACGAACCAGTTCTATTCCTACGCGGTTGGTGATAAAAACATTCACAAATCGGAATTTCAGTTCAGATTTGCAGAGTTCATCAAATAGGAAGCCCAAAATGCACAACTCCCGTCTGACTAGACGGAATATGATTAACTCTGCTACAGAAGCACGGAATTTGGTGCTAAATAAACTGACTAGCCGCTCCCATTCCACCTCATCTATGCCGGTTCTCGCGCACCGATGGTTAACCAATTCCTGGAATGGACATCCAAAAAAAGATTATAATCATCGATCGGCTCAACAAACTCAATCCAATTTGAAAGCAATAAGTCCGTCTATCACGTTTGGGGCAGCACAAATTGCGAAAATGAAATAGACAAACACAAAATGTTTAACGCACGTTGCACACGCCGCATACGTGCCTGAAGATAACAACAAACAAATACCGACTAGGAGACAGTCATTTTTACGGTCAAAGCCCGATGAAACAGACCGGTGGCTTAGAGTGCTGTTGTTGTACAATACACCAAGATGGACGATAAATGGTGTGGTAGATCGATTGAGCGAGAAGAGGAATAAGATTGAATCATGTTTGCTTATTAGTAAGTGGATTATTTGATAGAAAACCAAATTTGTGAACGTCAAAACCCAACCAACAAGCTTGATTTAGGTACACATCCCAATTCCATTGTGTATACCTCGCAGCTCACGTGATCCNGCCACTATCGATTATCTGTTTGAATGCGATCCGATCGTGCCGAAGTACATTTGAGCCTGTGAAAAACTTTGTGAGCAATATATATCAGGAGATCTAAGAAAGACAATGCCGAGCCGTCCACAACAAAACCACACAGAGCAGCATATCTTTTTATCTGTCTAAGATAACCGGATGCGGATCCGTCAGATCCCATAACCAATCCGAGTTCACGCTATTCTCGTGGTCCGCGCGCGGGTCAATTTCATGCAAACTTTTGGCCAAGGGACGTGCCGAACCCAAATCGATACAAATATATCCTGGCAGAGGTAAACAGGCCAGAAATGTTTGCCATTCACTCATGACACAGGTTCCAACCAAGCAGTTCTCAAATTTTTCTTCCTTCGAGTCCCTCTCAAAAGTGATAAATCAGCCCTGGTTTGAGTGTCAAACGCACTGTATTTCAAAACTGCCGTTTTTGGAGAAGAATCAAACTAGTACGGAGCAAACTTGTCCTTTAGGATTCTGTCCCCTTAGTCCAGAAAGTCCGCATAGATTTACACCATCAGTTGATCTGGTTAATACGGATGGAGATCAGTTCACATATGTAAGTGAAAACTCTCAGCAGTTGAGTGACGCTCTAACGGTTGAAGACAACTTACAAAGAGTAATCGAAAGCTCACCAGATTCATTACTTTCACCCCCAGATACTCCACCTTATGACGATAGACAAAGCTGGATTGAAGCACATCCGATACAATGTGCTTTATTTAAAACAACAGCAGGGAATCGTACGTCACGCGTAAGGTTGGATTCAAATGCTGATTATCCTGGTCAATACGAAGAAGATCCTAATACTTATGTTCATGAGTCAAGGAATTTTCGATCCATCGAGAAGGCGAAGCGAGAATTTCCCGAAACATGGGATCACGAATCGACTCTAGTTCACGAACTCACACTTCTGAAAGCACCATATGCGGCAAGGAAGACTCGGATACGACCCAAATCTTCAAGCATAGATCATAGGCATCGAGAATTTCTGACTCAAAGACGACTGCATACGACGATTCCTA